TGTTTTAAAAACGAGTTAGGATAAAACGGGGATACGGACGGACGGATGAATGACGGACGGACGGACGGATGGCGACGGACGGACCGGACGGATAATATATGTATGTCATATTATATAGTCTGCGCGCAGCCGCGCAGGGTAGTTAGTGGGTTACGTCTTCGCTGGTTGTTATACTTTAAAATAATTTTGTATTTACCGAGAAATCAATATTCCGAGTGTATAAATATATAAACTGGGATGTCACACTGATAGTTTGTTTACATTTCCTGGAGCATCAAATCTTATGTTTAACCACGGTGGTTTAACCCATTAGCTGGCAATGCGCCCTTCCCTTGTCCAGCGCCAGAAAATTTTACTCGTCAGTGGTACAGGGTACTGCCAGTAAATGGGTTAACAAACCTATCTGCCAATGGCTCTTGTTAATCCATCAGCACAGTAATGACTTTAGTATTTACCCTGTCCAACGCCAGACGATTTTTAATACTCAGTCAGTGGTAGGGCCGTGCTGTCAATAAATGGGTTAACAAGGATAACAATAGCCTGCGTAGCGGCTATCAGAGAAAGTCTCTGAGAGCCGCTACGCAGGCTAGGATAACAATAATAGGATGTTTCTGAAGGACTCGTTCAACACCCTGTAGTTTGTCTTTTGCTGTCAAAGGCAGCATTACTGCCCTGTGGGTAACCTAGTATAAATTTATACTGTATAAAGTCTATACTGACCCTTGCGAGATTGGGCCGCCTGTGGTGTATATAGCCTAGCGATAAACAATATTCTTGAGCTGGAATTGTAGAATCAAACCAGAGGAATATTTAACACCTTTGCACTGTTCACCGACACTGAGGTGAATAATTGTTTTAGCATATACCACAACAAAACAAGAATGACTAAAAAATAACGAAAATACTTATAAAACAATTTGTATTTCAGCTCGCGTAATAGTTGTAAACAAAACAGTATTTACACGCTTTCTTATTAAATGTCTTAAGTACAAAATTATTATAGCAATTGTCTGTTTAAACTAAAATATAAAACAAAACTAAACTTTGGGTATTTTTTATTAGCCATACTGTAATGTCTCTATAAAAAGGCCCTTTTAAGGCAATCTCGTTCCCGGGCTTTTTCTTTGTGGAGAGGAAAGAGCCTGGGAACGAGGTTGCTTTTAAGGTTACTTGAGAAGCAAAGGTGTGGTTTATAGAGCATTGCTTCTTTATCTATGATTACATATAAATCTTACAAACAGAAAGACTGTACTTGGTATTTCTTTAAGTTTTCACAACTTCGACAATGCGTATTTTGTCCTTGGCACTGTATAGATTTACATGAAGCCTCCAACTTTGAGATTTGGGTATTTCGATCATATGAGGTTGTTGACCAGTGGGTAAATGTAGTGACAGCTTGCCTGTATCGCAATCCAAGACTAACTCAACCGTCTCACCCTGTTTAGTTACATTTTGAAAGGTATTGTTTCTTGTAAATTTCCCGTTTTTATACACTCCCGGGCTAGCGATCCCGAGTGACCATCCATTACAACCAGGCGAGGAAAGTGAATAATTTGACTGTGATAGAACATCCGCTTTCAATATGGCAACCATGATCCAATGGTTATTTTGAAAGGACTCTAACTTCAACTTGAAACGGATAATCCCATGTTGATAAACATTCTCACCGAGGACATATTTATGCCCACTACTTGAATTATGGACTGCGACTTTTCCATCTTCCTGAATACTAATTTCAGGACTGCGCAATTTGAATTTCTCGCTTGATTCTCGTGAATTGAATTTCTCGCTCGATTTCTCAGTTGCAATCTCAGCGGGGACGATTTCTTTACTTAGGCCGAGATATTCGACAAGATTACTGAAATTTTTCTCTTGATTTTGAGGGACTTCCGGTAATGGTGCTGGATTTTCAGGAGTCGCGATTTTCTTCGCGCGCAGATAATCCAAAATATAACCAAAATATTGTGGGTTGACGTCGAAGAATACGGCGCCATCTTGATCACGCTTGACACTGTCTTCCCACCTGCCACTGAACATGGTGGCAAGTAAGGAACCTTCTACTTGACACAAAGTAGATCTTGTGCTCGTGAATTTTTGTCCACCGACGTTCAGAAGTATTATATCATCGTCGTTAACGTCGACTGCTTTCATTCTTTGCTTCTCGGCCTGATACGCTTCAATTTCCGCCTTCATTTTAGCTCTCTCGCCTTCGACAATTTCGTCAAATTCCTCCCTGAATCGCTTGACCAAATCATCAAATTTCGATAGCAAATCAGTGCAGCTCATTTTGTGACTTTGTAAATACACTAGGAATGATTTTCAGCTTTGTAACACAGCTTTAAATGTATGTAACAAGTGAAGCTTGTCTTTGTTTACTTCGTAGTAAAAGCACTCTATTCAGGGAACAATTGCAAAATATAATTCTGTATCCAAATGTCGATGTACATGAATATTTAATATATTAATGCAAATGCAAAGGATTTTTATGCAAATGCTGATCACATTGATATAATCACTTGTAAAACTTTTAAACGGCTTAAATACGATTCATCAGTTTTGCATTGGGCATATTTACTGTGTCCATATGACCAGATTTATAATAGCAAATTCTATCGTAGTTGAACTGCAATGTAAAGTGATAAAGAAAGAGTAAGAGCAAAGAGAAAAATACTCTGTATTGATTAGGCGTGCTTCAGGAAATATTCCTTCAAAAATGACAGAACTCTGGCTAGGGCTTCTGTGCAACTAACGTTCTAAACCACATCGTGTTGCATGTTTAACTCTTGTATGTCCGTCACCACACTTTTTTATTTTATATTTTTGTTCTTCTATACGTTTTATATTTCCTATCGGAAAATAAGACAAAAATCATTTCTACAACTTATAATATTTTACATTTTTCGCGCATGCTCCCCAAAATAACATGTCTGAGAAGATGGGAAAAGACATCTTTGTACCACAACAATGCACGTCAATGCTTTTTGATTCGTTAAAATACCATGTTTTCTTGTATATAATAACTACATAGATATTTTTAGTAGGATCCTTCGCAGGCTCGCAGATTATGCGATGAATAAACTTTAGCGTTAAACATAAATTATCACTAATCATAAATATTTAGTAACTGACCAATCACAAACGTTTTTCAGGGGAAATCCACGTGACTGCACAAGCTTTACTTTCCAGATGCGCAGACTTAATAAATTCGGGTTGAGGCTGCATGCAGGCTAGTGTAGATAGCCTAGCGATAAACAATATTCTTGAGCTGGGATTGTAGAATCAAACCCGAGGAATATTTAACACCTTTGCACTGTTCACCGACACTGAGGTGAATAATTGTTTTAGTATATACCACAACAAAACAATAATGACTAAAAAACAACGAAAATATTTATAAAACAATTTGTATTTCATCTGGCGTAATAGTTGTAAACAAAACAGTATTTACACGCTTTCTTATTAAATGTCTTAAGTACAAAATTATTAGCACCTGTCTTTGTGAACGAAAGTATAAAACAAAACTAAACTTTGTTTCTATTTATTAGTTCTACTGTAACGTCTCTAGAAAAGGTTCTTTTAAGGTTACTTGAGAAGCAAAGATGTTGTTTATAGAGCATTGCTTCTTTGTCTATGATTACAGAATAGATAAATCTTACAAACAGAAAGACTGTACTTGGTATTTCTTTAAGCTTACGCAACTTTGACAACTTCGACAATGCGTATTTTGTCGTTTACACCGTGCAAATTTACATGAAGCCTCCAACTTCGAGATTTAGGTATTTCGATGTGAGATTGTTGACCAGTGGGTAAATGTAGTGACAGCTTGCCTGCATCGCAATCCAAGACTAACTCAACCGTGTCACCATGTTTAGTTACATTTTGAAAGGTAGTGTTTCTTGTAAATGACCCGTTTTTAATCACTCCCACAAGACTATTAGACCCGAGTGTCCATCCATAACATCCAGGCCAGTTAACTGAACTATGTGACTGTGGGGCAACATCCGCTTTCAATATGCTCACCACGATCCAATTGTTATTTTGAAAGGACTTTAATTTCAACTTGAAATGGATAATCCCATGTTGGTAAACATTTTTACCGAGAACATATTTATTCCCTCTATTTGAATCATGGACTGCGATTTTCCCGTCTTCTCGAAGAGCAATTTCAGGACTGCGCAAATTGAATTTTTCGCTTAGTTTCGCGCCAGTTGCAATCTCAATGGGGATTTCTTTACTTAGGCCGAGATATTCGACAAGATTCCTGAAATTTTTCTCTTGATCTTGAGGGACTTTCGGTATTGGTGCTGGATTCTCAGGAGTCGCGATTTTCTTCGCGCGCAGATAATCCAAAATATATAACCAAAATACTGTGGGTTGACGTCGAAGAATACGGCGCCATCTTCATCACGCTCCAGACCATCTTCCCGCCTGCCACTGAACATGGTGGCAAGTAAGGAACCTTCTACTTGACACGAAGTAGATCTTGTCGTGGTGAATTTTTGTCCACCGACGTTCAGAAGTACTATATCATTTTTGCTAGCGTCCGCTGCTTTCATTCTTTGCTTCTCGGCCTGATACGCTTCGATTTCCGCCTTTATTTTAGCTCTCTCGCCTTCGACAATTTCTTTAAATTCCTCCTTAAATCGCTTGACCAAATCGTCAAATTTCGAAAGCAACTCAGTGCGGCTCATTTTGTTACGTTTTGAATGCACAAGGAATGATTCTCAGTTTGGCAGAGATAAGCACTACACTTTTTACAGCGCGTAATGAAATAACTTTGTCTTCGCAGGAAAAGCACTCAATTCTGGGAAGACTATTGCGAAATTTTAATAATCCAAATGATGACATGTGATTGGAGATGAATAGACCATGACGATCTGTTAAGGATAGACATGGTTTCAGGTTTCATTACTCGCTATGAGTGTTGCTGTGTAGATAGCCTATATATCGAGATTTTGCAGAGTTGTATACTCGAGTCGTGTGACTTGGACTCGAGTCGCAATTTTTGTGACTTGTGACATGACTTGTTAAAGAGACTGATGACTTGACTTGGACTTGGACAAAATGCCCGACTTGCAAGAAATGACTTGTTACCAACGCAAGTCAAACGTAAATATCTAGTGAAAATCAAGTTTTCCAAAATCTTTGTGTTGATCTATCGATCGTCGTGTTGTACAATTTGGGCAACGACCTTAGTACATATCAATGGCATCGACAGAATTTGTGCGGACGTATTTTCTGACAAAGCGGGGTTTTTTCGCGATTTCGTGGTAAAATTTCTGACATAAAATAACGACGCCATATTTACATATTTTGCCGTTTTGCGTGGGAAAACAAGGCCACATGTGGCGATAAAATGACTTGTGACTTGACTTGAATTGACTTGCCACTCGGAATGACTTCTGACTTGACTTGACTTGACTTGGATTTAGACAAAATGACTTGTGACTTGACTTGAACTCAGACCAAATGACTTGTGACTTGACTTGGACTTGCAGAAAATGACTTGTGACTTGACTTGGACTTGCAACATAGGACTCGTTAACAACTCTGTATAAAGATCAGGGTTTTAGCTGTCAAATGACACCTTGATTCAAATACGATATTGAAAAAACGATCAAATACGATTTGATTTAAAGTAGTCGGTTGAAAGCGCGTTTTTCCACATTTAGGATTTAAATTGCTTGTTGCCCATTTGGGCAACGTATGGCATTGCGAATTCCGTCTACAAACGACACAGTTTTGTGAAATGTTTTAACCACTCACTGTAGATGCAAAATTGCGAGTGAAAGCAAAACTTGATGCTAACACATGCGTTGCGCCATCTTTATTCAAGGATCATATTTGGCTATTTTTTATCTCAATGATACACGACCTTTATGGCATTCGATACAGGGATGGATCCAGCATGATCTTGGGGGGGGGGGATGCTCTGCCAGCTCTGGTGCCGAGTTGTGTTGGTCATGTGTGCCGCCCGCCCATCAACTTGCTTCACCACTGCAAAGTTTTGCTTGACTAATGTATTTGAATTGTAATTGTTGTTCACAGTTCGCTTACCATCATGTTATTACTCAAATTACTGTATCGCATTTTGTCTCTAATAATTTTTTGCTTTATCATGAAAAATAGCACCACCCCTGCATCCCCTC